GCTAATTATAATCTACATTGTAACCATTTAATATAAGGAATAAATTTCTTAGTTCCTCATTAGGGATTTACTTTCTCCTTACTAACTATATGTTACATCAACAGTTACAGTGATTAGCGCCCGTTAAAGCATACGCAGTTATAAATAAACAGTTATTATTAGGCCACGTGGCTTCGTCGCCTCTGCGATGCTGTTCTATGAGAGAGACGCTGTCCGGTTCGATCGCACCGTTTATGATACCGGCTGAGCTTAAAGCAGCGTTAGATATAAAACACGCATTACGCAGTAAAAACGCATCGTAACAACGGCCTAATGCTTGTTATTTCATAACCGCGCTCGCTCGTGGAATTAACAATGTTACATAATGTTTCTTTTTATAAAACTACTCTTAAATGACAAATACTTTTTTTAAATCATGCTATTGACTATAGAGTATTCTTTTTTATTTACAGGAAACGCACAGTTATTAAAATAAATACAAAATAAAAGTGATAAGTGTTCTTATAAACCATGCAAATGATTGTGGATTTCATTTGTGGAGTTTAAACGTTATAACTGTCATTAAACTTTGGAAATACCTTTATATTCAGGAATCAGAACAGAAATATGGTGAAATATTCACACATTAAGAAACTACTTAATGAAGTTCTGCCACTATGCAGCTCGATTAAGCTACGTCAACTAATCAGAGTCTAGCTGTGTGTCTATGCTAACATTACAGACATAGGTATTTCTTATTTATTTGGTACTTGCTTGAGTTAACAATTAATAAATTTTAATAAACAGTAATTCAAACTCAATAAATATATAGAAAATAAGTGGCAGAAAAAATATATTGAAAATGCAGCTTGCATTGATATCCTTTGCATTAATATCTTTGCAATGAAATAAAAATCTATGTTATAATTAATAAATCTAAAATTAAAATATTCTTATCCATAGATTTGTTTACGTTAAACGAAATATTGAAACTAAACGAGGCCATTACAGAACTATCAACGAGGTTGTCATTAAAATTTTTCGAATATAACACGTTCATAACTCAAGTCGCTTCGATTACTATGAAAGCAGTGTACAATTTTCCGCATAAGTTTATTGAAAACCACAGGGGACTTTCATCCTTATTAATGTAGGACAAGAATTATTTTAGAGTACAATAAAAACGTTGAGAGATGTCGCCTCAAGTACGTCAGTTTAATATTTTTACGATATTGTCTAGTGGTGCTACAGCGCCGTTAAACTAAAAAGTTTCTTCGACTGTTAGATGTTCATTACCACTTAAAAGCATACAATTTTAGAATGGGAACGTATAAAGGGTTAAATGACTTCATGGTACTGTTACCGTAACCGTCATTGAATAAAGAAGGAAATAAAGTCGCTACCATTATGATTGTGCGCTTTTGAAAAAAATCAGAACGAGTGTTGCGTTCTTATGACGAACTACTAGATCCAAGAGTGAACTTTAAAATTTATACACATAATAAGTTCTCACCTAGTGATACCAATGAAATTGTTAATTTCATGTGCTGAATTATCACGTGCTCAGCGGTGAAGGAAAACATCATGAGGAAACCTGCATATTTTCGAAATAATAAAAAAAAATCAAAAATATGTGAGGTCCGCAATCCGCAGTGGGACCGCGTGGTGGACTATGATACCCTGATACCCTCTGTACCAATTCGAAAATATGTGAGGTCCGCAATCCGCAGTGGGACCGCGTGGTGGACTATGATACCCTGATACCCTCTGTACCAATTCGAAGATATGTGAGGTCCGCAATCCGCAGTGGGACCGCGTGGTGGACTATGATACCCTGATACCCTCTGTACCAATTCGAAAATATGTGAGGTCCGCAATCCGCAGTGGGACCGCGTGGTGGACTATGATACCCTGATACCCTCTGTACCAATTCGAAGATATGTGAGGTCCGCCAAATCGCAGTGGGGCCGCGTAGTGGACTATATCTGATACCCTCTGTACCGAGGAGGCCTTTGAAATAAAGAAAATAACTAGGGATCTTAATCCTATGATCAGATATCGTAACACAAATTTTAATATGTTTTTATTCTTTTTCTACTTTAATACATTGTTTGCAAGAAGACGTTTAGGTGGTTATAGATTTGATAGTTTACTGTGGTAGGGCAACACAACTGTCTTCACTGTTGCACGATTGGGCAGTTCTGTCCAAGTAAGAACGACCTCATAGAAGACCGGCCTGAAGAGGTATAAACTGCTGAGTTTTATCTGGTGAGTGGGGTAATCGGGGTCCACTTTAGTAAAAGATTTGATTGCGCATCTATAACCGTACGGGCATTGCTAAAATCGATGGTCGGTGCTCATCACTTAACGTTCAGAGAACCGCTAGCTCGCTTGCCATCTAAAAAGCGTTATTAGTATTGGCTACTACAAACTTTTTTAGTATTTTCCAAGTTAATTGATTTACAAATGTAATCTCCACTAGATAATGAGCGAACGGTACGCATGGCGGATGAGGCAGCTAAATACAAATTTGTTTTCGATTGTCCGACTGCACAGACAGATTTCTACGCACATATTTATTCGGTAAGCTATCGATGTCTGCTGCTAAGTGGATTAGAGGCACGGAGCCGACTGGGCTGACTGTATCCGGCAACTGTTAAAACATTTCGAGGCCTCGGGTGCGTAAACGACAGTGTAAACGCGACATTAGTTACCATGCAAGATTGTATTCTTCAAACTAAAACAATAACAGTACATTTGGAATAAAAAAAATTCTACAATAATAAATTACGAAATTTTTATATATATTGCTAAACTTCGCACTTAAGATAGAACAATAAAATTTGTAGAATAAAGGAGTTTTCGAACTTTCTTCAACAAATTTTAAAGTTTTTACGTGCGGAGATATGCACTACAAAAAATTGAATTTCATATAGCAATGGCAACATCTCTCGTTCGAACTATCGTTCTAAATCGATTTTAAAAATTGTTTGTATACAAAATATACTAGTAGTAAAGGATATAACAATAGATGCGCCAAGTATTGCTTCAAATACGAAAAATATAGATAAAAGACAAAGTCGTTGACATTTTCGTCGGTGTGGCAATCAGCTGTTTAGTTTAGTGGTTAAACGTTTGGGTGTGAATCTGGAAGATGTTCGTTCGAATCCCGCAACGGCTTAACTTCTGTGGCATCGCTGAACAAGAGTGGATTACGCAGAATGGTCGTTTGGGTTGTGCACTCAGTTAATCGCCACACGCGTCGCCATATTACGTGAGTGCAGGCGTCGATGCCGTCACGAAGGGCATTTAGGGTATTGTTTGCTGAGCAAACATAGGCCGGTTTCGGACATCGATACCGTGTCAAGTGACAGGCCTAGGCGTTGTTAATGGAGTATTTATTTGGAAAAATCATGTATACAATATAATTATATGCAAACAAGGAATCTACCAACTTAAAAGTTAGAGTTTGGGACCACAAATACGGGATGTTTATTCATATTGTCAAACTGATTTATCAAGTTGTGGATTGTTGAACGGCCGCTGAAGATAGAATGAGATTTAACGTTTGTTATCAGTTTGAGAAGACACGGACATACTCTTTTTCTTAGAGTGCATCCACAAGCTTGCAATGTGTCCTCTACAGTTCATAATTTCGCCATAATGCTAGTGCAATACATTTTTTCATTTCGATGAAAATAAAAGACTAAGTAAACGAACTCGCGTAAAAGATTCAATTCAGACCAAAATATCGCTTTGATCGTTATAAAAGTACGAGCTGAATGAAACGGGTACTTATACCTAATATTGTGGAGAATAAGTTAAGCGTTTCACCGCTCATTAGTATAAGGAAATAAGGACAAAGGTAACAACCGCCCGTCGCTTATGACTCACGCCAGCCCACCGCCTAACTAGCTCTGGTATGCCGTAAGTAACCACGGCGCATTCGACGTCCGGAGCCCTCTGTATGCTTTTTGAAGATTATACCCGTTGGCTGAATTCGCCTTCGACCGGACTCGTTACGAAACCAGGCTAACAACTATCTACAAAACCTATTGCGGCATGATAAAAATATTTGCTGTACTGGCTTAAGGAAGTGTTCATGCGTTTGTGAGATTAAATCTTGTGAAACAGATAAGGTACATTTCGTTATTATTTGAAACGTAGTTAATACAAATGTTGCTTTACAAAAAAAGGTCACAATTTGTGCTTCAAAATCATCGGACGCTGTCACGTATAAAAAGCCCTCAGTGGCTTGAATTAACGGATTGATGATTCCCACAAAGATAAACTGGTTAAAATTGTTACCTTCGAGGCTTTAATTGATCGTTATTAATTACGAAACTCTAAATCGGGGAAAATGTCACACTCATTAAAATTTCGAATAGCGGGTGGTCCGATTTTTTTTAAACTATCTGAGGTTGAATTGATTGGCGGTATTTTGTTTGAAAAGATACCAAATTTGTTGACAAGTTAAAAATTAATACAGTAGTTAATTATATTGGTATTGTAGATATGGCCCTCTTGATGACCATTAACAACTGTCTACTAACAAGTGTCTGTAATAAATTTAATTTAATCAAGTGGTTAGAGGAGATGGTTGTTCCCGGGCTAATGAATATTCTCTATTTAGCTAATGAATTATTTCGGGTGCAGGCTCTTAAGGAGTGAGGTTTGTGTGTAACTAACTAACGGACTAACTTTTAAAGACACTGTAGACAGTGTGTTGCAACAGTTCAAGTTTTTATCAATTACCCATGTATTTCTTGCATCTGGAATCGAGAATTTTTCTCATTTTTTATATTCAATTTACTGAAAGTCAATTATTAAGTAATTTAAGTCAATTAGTAAATAATTAAAACGTTTTTTATTATCGTATAGGGTCGCTTTTATTTCGTGACGTTCTGAGTAAGACGTCAATGGATTTATAAATAATCATTTTTCTTAAAAAGATGTATGGAGAAAGCCCAGATTTTCTTATCTAAATACGAGTACTTGATACACACAATACAAAAGCACTCATGTCCAATTATACTCTGAAACGCGTTTGTGCGTCGTACGACAAATCTCATGCATCTACTGCACCCATCGTCGAGCACAGTGGACACAGTGTCGCTCCCGACGTTATCCGTTGGGAAATTCCTCGCGAGTGGCGGCGCGGTGGCGGCCTACAGCCCGCGTTGGAACACAGGCCCTTTGTTGTTGCGCTCGACGGCCAATTAGACGTGGGGAGAGCACGGGTAATTGGGCCGGGACCGGTTCCCAGCTGGGCGCGAGTTTTTACCCGCGACGCGTCTCGGATTCATAGCGTCGCTGCGCGCGGCGTCGCTCGACCTTCCGAGCGACTGAGCTCGGAATTCTAACCTCAGGACATTTCGATTGGAGTCACTTCAGCGATGCAGTTGGAATTCGTTTCGATTGTTAAGTTCCATGGCGTGGAGGGCGAAAAAGCTATTACTGAGTTAGTAGATGTAACTAAATACTTTGATCGAACACTAGACAACCGGCAGACGCTGACCAATGTTACCAATAAATAATGGTACAATAAAACAAACTTTACGATTTTAATTTAATTACATCAACAATTTATTACTTATAGACGTGCCAATGAATGATTAGCTAAATTACTCAATTTACATTTTGTACTCACAAAATTTGAATTGACTAATTGCATTGATGAAGCTTTTGAAAGAGAGGCGTCTAGTATTGCGATAAAGAAAGTTGCTGATGATGAATATCTATAATTCGAAATTTAAGATTAGTTTAGCTGTAAACATGTAGTTATATAAGTTTATGTTTATCGTGTTGATTTGCATTTGATTGCCGATTATATGCGTGCATATAAAACGTTTCAAAACTTGCTTCCAATAGTTGGGATGCAACACTAAATATCAAGACTCGAAAGCCAGAGTATTTGTTGCAAAGATTGTCCAATATGGGAACCGTAATGAATTGTATTAGTTTGGTGTAAACAAGACTACTGAAACCCACTCCACAGCATCACCAGTAGTTCAAATATAGTAAACCGTAATATATTAAGGTCTGTAAAGGCTGAATACTGATACGAGAATTGGGGAATTTAGATTGAAAACAACAACTCTTCTGGTCCTATTCGTGTGAAGTACAAAGCAACCGATTTATCTCACGTGGCTTTATAACTCTTGGATGGAAGGACCCGCAGGTCTGGATTATGCTGAAAGTCAGCTCATTACCCTGCAAACTCTTCTGGTCCTATTCATGTGAAGTAAGAAGCACTGATTCATCTCACGTGGCTTTATAACTCTTGAGTGCAAACGGCCCACCTGACGGTCCGTCCGGTGCTCCGATGAGTCACCTCGGCCCGAACTCGGTGGCAGCGAATCAGTGATCCACACACGCGGCCGCTCTTTTATTAAAGTCAACAATGGCTGCCTGATTGTCGCCGTATAAATAAACGGTCCGCCGTCGCGTGGGACGCGCACAGTTCTAACTTGAGGCCGACGTGTTAGTGTCTATTTGCGTTGCTCGCGTCCGTTTATAAAGCGTTTGTTGATATCGAGCGAGACATTCGATTTCACTTCCCGATCGGATGTGCGTTTAAATTAAAGTAAGTTTCAAAGGTTGCGGTAGCGTCATAGTGTCAGTGTAGTTTATAACTTTTTAGTCTTAAAGATAATTTTTCAATTTGCTCGTCCAGTATAACGCCCACATTCTTACATATTTCACATCGATGGTACTTTGACGGAGTAGTTAATGGAATAGTAAAGAGTTTAATGAAATCCACACATTATTTCCAATACGGTTTAATATACCGTAAGTTACTGAAAATATGCAACAAAGCCTTACGCAAATCTGAAGCAGCTTATTCAATGCAAATTTTCAGCAGGAGATAAACTCATTTACATCTAGGCTGGTAATGATAATAATTGTAAATAGCATGAGAAATCACCATCAAACAAATTAAAGACGCCACAGACTTAAATACAGCATTAACTTAAAAGTTTTATGTGTTATTTTTAGACGGTAGATGCAAACGAACGTGATCATGACTTGTTTTTTTTTTAATAACTCATTACGTTATTGTAGTTGGAAAATGTTGACATAACTGAACTTTTTCCCAAATGGACTAACGCCAAACATCTATGAGAAGATGAATATTGTACTTGTTAAATTATTTTCACATTAATAAAGTAATCCGCTGTATTAAATTTTATATATAAATTAATCAAAACTGTAATATCAATGTACTTAACGATGCTTGCAGGGTTTCACCAATGGAAGTTAAATCTGTTAATAAGTGTTTACTTCAAAACGAAATGCAAAAGGGAAAGGCTAAATCTATTGAAAAATATTATAGTAGAACGAACAACATGACTGTTTTAAGTATATCAAAATACAAGAAATAAGCAACAGCCGCCTGGATTGGGTGTTAGCCTGGTGTGTGGCAGTGGCGTTTATAAAAAAGGTTTTCATACCAAAGTAGGCACTTTTCACTCATGAAAATTCCAACAAACACTTTTTCAACAACTTTTTTACGTATCAGAGAATATGTCTTTATTGAGATGGATTTTACAAACAAGTTATCTGCCCTTGTGGTAGGAGTGGGCTCTTAACGTCAATTAAACGGTGAATTAGAACTTGCAACCATTATGAATTGTCTAGCGACGTTCAAACCTTAGAAGACTTAATAATAAAACTTCACTCCACAAATAGATATTACTCAATATTAATTAAAATAAATTAAAATTAAAATATTTGATAAGCTAAGCGCTTAGGTACTGTACTCCCTGCCTACGGCTGAAAGGCTTAATAATCTCTATGACACGTGCACTGATACATATATTATTTATCATACTTATAATGAAATGCTAAACTTGTTATGATTATGTAAACGATTTTGGGAACTAATTGACAAAGACAGACGAGGTCACACGTTGGTACCTGTTGATACCGCCTGCTGCGGTCACGTGAACTCTAGCGGCATAACTTTACGGAGGCAGGTACCTGCATCCGAGATCTTATCAGCGGTCCATTGATTGACTGAGAAACTAAATAGAGTATAAAATTGATTGCTCTAATTCCTATGAAACAACTTTAGCTCTTCGGTAAAAAACGGGGCAAATATCAAGAAATGCAAATAGGAAAGAGTGGATACTAATACTTTTTAATTTCTATCTTGGTGTTAGAGAACTATATACTATGTTCGCAATAACCAAAGTTATAATATTATACATTCTAAAAAGCAACAAATATATTATGGGTATTTTTAACTTCCTAGAATGTATAATGTTCTTTTAAACATATAAAGGAGACAGTTGCTAATTGAAATATCAACTTTTAAATTTACTTAACGTTGTTCAAAACAATTTGTACTCGATGGATAAATACACATCAATATAAACATATATTAACATCCAGACATTGTAAAAACACTATGGTCATGACTTTCAAGTGGTAAGGATCGAACCCACACTCTCTGCCGCAAGCGCCGGGCTTACTAAACACTTCGCCAATAAAGTCGACGTTTTTCACTAGTTGATCTTATCTCGCTGATGAATAGGTATTCAAAGTTCATTGTAAAATGCAGGAAAAACATAAACACACTAAGATGCATTTTCTTCTCCTCTCAGTCCGGAGGTATAAACTACAAAGAATTAAGAATAAGTATATAATTTTATTGATAAAAAATGACTAATCAGAGCATTTTGGCAAGCAATCCAAAGGTCTAGACATCTGAGACTGCATCTATGTACTGTTTTGTAAAAAAAAAACTCAAATAATCCTATACAACACCTCCCTTGGCACTAATCCAGAAGTACTGCACACCTGGGGACAATTATAGCGTTGCTCAAGAGAAATTAGCTAGCGACGCACATAAATTATCACCATCGTCCTACTTAATATTAACAAGTTTCACTAATATCGAATTACCAGCTTAAGCATCTGACTCTAGATTGTTTGTACTAACGACTAGCGACCCGCCCGGCTTTGCACGGGTGCAATGTATTATATAAACCTTTCTCTTGAATCACTCTATCTAGTAAAAAACCGCATCAAGATCCGTTACGTAGTTTTAATGATCTAAGCATACATAGGAAGGATGACTTTGTTTTATACTATGTAGTGATATAACACATAGCAACATATCGACTATAGTAACAAATGAATCAATATAGAAACGACGTACCTCACTGGGTTGACTAACGTTTAATTCCTATTAACAGTATACCCACCCGTAAATTATCGAGTGTAGAACAAACACTCATTTTGTTTTGAATGTTTTCTAGCTCACAGAGGGTAAGTGACCGGTGATTCAGCATCGCCCCGTTCGAAACGGCGGATCCGTTTAATTTCCCTCATAACGAATGGCGCCCTATCTGTTTATCCCACGATCCAAAATAGTTTGGAGGTGCTGTGATGTGAGACGTTATGCTTTTGCGTGGCCGGCAGCAGCTATATCCGTAACCACGACGCCGCCCCCTTCTCGGGTTCACGTCGCGTACTATTTATTCCGCGCCCCCTCCTTTTAGCGAGTCATTGAGCAAATCTGGCGAGGACATAACTCAGCCGCCGGTAGTCGATTGACTCCTGAGCCCCTCCCACATCTCAACGTGTCTTTTCAGCCCGAACGAGTCGTCTCGAAGTGTGCAGCGGGTAAGCCTGTCGATTTCGGTTCATGGTACATATTGACGTGGTTTCAAGTCATTAATGGCGCGGGAAATGTCAAGTCAACTCCACTTCTACATAGGAGACCCTGACTAATGACGAAATAAAGAAAACATGATACTGAAATGGGTGTTATGCTAAAGTTGTATGTGCCTTAACTGCAATTATTATATACCAGTTGGTAAATGGACCCACTGACTTGTCCTTTTATGTCGACAGTATTCACTTTGGAATCTTAAATGGATTTTAGCAGCGGCAATCACACTTTCGTAGAAAATCGTTTGTTTCCCATCTCTTCAAAAAATTAAAAATTAATGCCGTAAAAATACCATAGGTTTTTGTCCACAGACAGTCTAAACAAAAGTAATACACATTTTACCCAGCTACGAAAATCGTTTGGTACAGTACATGAATAATGAAGTAATTATAAGCTCCTACTGAATGATATTCGATCCAAATGTACATCCGCTGAATATATGCCAATTAACATCACTAATTAAACCAGACATAAGTGAATGCAGTCAGCGAAAGTTGTACACTGCTTCAAACCTTACTACGTTTTTCTAACGCAACCGGACATGTTGTCATCTGCAACTAACTGGCTGCTTATTGAGTTGTAGTGAATTGCTGATACGATTTAAACTTCATATAATTGTACAAGACTGTGCGTAAAAGATGTATGCTGAATTCGATCCTTCGACTTCATCTCGTTTATTAAATATGATGTTAAATTATTATACTACTAATTATTTTAATTAAATAATCATATAACACAATATTCATACTTATAAAATGAAATAAAATATACAGCGTGTCTTTACCATCGCGACAATAAATGAACACACATATAGAGGATAACTTTTTAAAATTGTATTAAACATTTACATTCTTTAAACATCAGTATTTAACGAGTTATCAAATTTTCCAAAACAAAGAATTTTAGAACACCCTTACGTATAAAACTTTAATGTAAAGTTCATTTGTAAAGGTCACAAAGCATATGAATGGGTTGAATGAATTTAAAAGAGACAAAACATACTGTTAGAAGGAGAGGCTTGTAATGCGGCGCTGTGGCAACGAATGAAAAAGTGTCTGAATGTATGAATCAGTCAGTTGTAGTTGTATAGGATGTTACAAATTTTGTTTCTTTTTTACTCAATTAGTTTGTTTGAAAAATATTTTTTTTAAATTATGGATTTTATTTAACGTTAATATTTTTTTATGATTGGTAACGACACGCTGTATATGAAAAGAGGGTTTACCCTTTTTTATGTGAAAAGGTTGCAAGCTAAGTAAGGTTAACCTGATGTCGAGTGATAATTACGTAACCGCCGCTCGTGGACATTTGCAACACCCGTAGGATTGCCAATGCGTTGCCGAGTTTTAATCAAACGGGCTCCGGCCACCTCGGTCATCATCACATCTATAATATTATTGTCGTTTAAAACATGTGGTATTTGCGCGTTAGCGTATAAAGCTTCGGAAGAACTTAGAGCCAGGCACGTTAGCTGTAAATTGATTCAAGTAACGCATTTATGCATACAAGCTAATGGCTATTGTATGTGCTTAATACTCAAGTAAAGTTGTATTGCCGTTAATGGCATAAGCCGGCTGATTAGCAAACGCAGTGTGAGACAAGTTACACACAATGTACAAGAGGTAGCCTAATCAAGCTAGCTATATAAACTCTCCAATGTATGATTTTGATAGTCCTTTTTAAAACTGCAAACAATAATGAGTTGATTATTTTTAAAATGTATGACATAGGCCACCTGTCAACCGTGCCCAGCACATCACCGTTTTTATATAAGTTAATTAGTATAAGATATACGTCACCTATAAAAAAAATTAAAAGCAATAGCGAGATCTGTCGTTATAAATATTGAGAATGAATGTTATTTGCTAGGTGTTGTATGCTGTAAAGGATGCACACTAAATGTTGCCAAGCATTGTTAACAATTCAAAAGAACGAACGTAGATAGATGTCAGAATTTCGCGCCGTGAGGTCATCGGCCCCTTAGCTTAGTTGGTTAAAGCGTTTGGACGCGAAACCAGAAGTCGCAGGCACGAATCCCGTAGTGGCGAAAATTTTTCGCTGCTATATCTACAAAATTTACAATATGATTTGCTGATACGAATGAATTTGAACAGGATTTCCTTTGAATGAAAACAGTTTTACGGATTAATCGCGTTTATTTTTAATTATAATTCCCGACGTTTCGAAACTTTTACAGCGTTCATGTTCACGGGACGGATAATTAAAAATAAACGGGATGAATCCGAAAAAATAGTTTCATTTATAAGCGCGTATATTCAAAAAAAATATCAGGAATTCCTTTGAGTTAGATTAACATATTTAAAAATAAGATACCTTATTGTCTGTTCTTGCTTATTACGATTGGAAAAAAGTAATGTGACAGCCCACATATACATATAAATGTCCCTCTCGCTGCCTCGGCACAGAAGGTACTATAGCATAGTCCACCACACGACCTCACTACGGATTAGCAGACGTCACTTTGGCGGAATTTTATTCATTACTTCGAAAATATGCCGGTTTCTCCATGACGTTTTCCTTCATCGCTAAGCATGTGATAATTGAGCACTTTAATTTAACAATTCCATTGGTGCTGGCACGTGGATTCGAACCTAGGTTGCTCGAGTACTCGAGTGTAATTAAATAGCTAGCACCCGGACACTGAGCTATCACGGCACAGCCACGGGCGAAAGCTATTTTCGCATAAATCTAAAAATTCCAAGACGCGTCACAAATGGCCGATGTAAATCGATCCAAACGCCAGATCTACGCAATCTACATTACCGCCTGACAGCTGTTTGACAAACTGCCCGACGTCTCACTTATCCCGCAGCGAGTGGGGTCGATGCAACTCAATCGCGTCACATTACAAAAGTCGATTTAGTCGCTTTTTTTCTGTTGACGACCTTATCGGTCGTTGAACTGAGAGAAAAAGCAAATATCTCTAGCGATCTGTGGGACCATTATTTTCTCAATACACTAAATTATCTAAAAATAAGCTCCCACGACAATAACAGAGATGAGATCACACCAATATTTGTCATTTATTATTTTTTATATAATAAATAACTTCACGCCTTTCATATTACTCGATACAGGTTATATATATATATATATATATATTTGTTTGGATGTAATGACTTTTCCTAGTTGAGAGACGACCTTGTTGTGGTGATTTCGGGACAAATAATCATACTTTTATATGTTATTATAATTTATAAGTACCACGACCTCACAGAAGGCCAGCATGAAGTAGAACTATTATAACCAGAAAGTTGACGGATTCAGGTGGCTCAGGATCGTGCTTCGTGGCAGTCTGTGGGAGGTCTATGTTAAGCAGTGGAAGTAAATAGGCTGAAATGATGAGGCTGAAAAGTGACTCTTGTCAAATTTTCACACAAAAAATCTATTCTGTGTCATCTCATTAGGGTTAAAGAAGTGTGTGTTTATTTATGTACGGTGTATTGAATGAGGCACAGAACGTTCGGAGTATACGCTATCTCTACGCGAGCGACAAACGGAAATTTAAGTTAAATTAATTGATTACGACATCGATTGGCCGTTGACCGTGCTCAAGGGCGATTTGATGGGTTAGTAACCCAAGGTTATTGGGAACGCATTTATCCAAGGATTAGTTCTGCCCCATAAGGATCATACTACATTATATACATTTAGATAAAGGACGTTTGGAAAAACTATTTTTTCGAAATCCTGTTATGTGTGACCGTGACTTACAGCGGCAGTTACAGTTACTTATAAGGTAATTCACATATCGTTTCAATTTTTGTTTTTTTCTGACAAAGGGTCACACACGGTGTGCCGGAGCGGGCTTTACCACATAGCGAGTGAACTACACTGGCAATAAACATCAACAACTCGCCTAGGATGGCCGTTTTATACTTTACAATTCAGACCACGTGATCTGGGTTCGGTTAAGTTAGCGATAAGCTGACTGGCTTCACCGCAGCGAAATTGTTTAAACAACAAACATTTAAAACATATTTTGGGTGTACCGTTTTAGTCTGTCTTTGAAATCTTATATTTTTTTTGGAAGACCAATACAAATACGTATATCGAATTGCAGAAGCAATGCAATAAATTAGCAGCGTTTCAATGTAACTAGACGAAAAATTTAAATACTGAATGAACAAATAAGCGCTTCGTTGCCATACATTATTGAGCTTCTCTTCTTCTTTAATTCAAGAGCTAGGCTCTTGACGGTGCGGCATCCCAGCAGTTCAGCTGTGTAATACCCTCCATCCTTCCCTGTTCATAGCTCTTTCCTTTACCTCTCTATACGAACCAACATTTATTTTCTTCTTTATTTGTGATATATAGCCTGTCACCGGTCCCCCTCTACCCCTCTTTCCTTCCATGACGTTGTTAATGAATCTGTCATATCTTATTAGACCTATCGTACTATCGTTGAGTCACCTAGCACGTATAAAAATATACAACGGAGGGGGCATAACGCTTTTACCTTACGTCACGACTTCTAAAAAGTCATAAATCCCGCAAGCAGCATTAAAGAAATCCCTTCCCGAAGAAAATATAAGTAGAGGGGCAGTGGAAAAGTTTGAACATTTTGTTGGACAAAACAACGCGATCAGTGTGGACCAAACCTAACAGCATCGCGTCTTATTTATAGCGGCCGCGGGAGATAAGCTGGCTGAGCGGACGTCTCGATGACTGATCGCTCTCATCTCGCGCCAGAGTCGGGAAATGACATTACCGATGTACCGATAAGGGCTCTTTGTCGCGCTAAGAACCCACTTGCTGCGTTCCACTGGCGCTTTTGTTCGGGAATAGATCGATTTGTCTGGTGTTCGTACATCATACAACCACCTGATGGGTGAGTGGTGGGGTCCGCTTTCATAAAAGATGTGGGAATGGTGAGTGCGGTCTAGCTCGTCAGTGGCGCGGCTTATGGTCAACAGTTGAATCTTTTATATAAGAAGGTGACAAGCGTGCTGTCGGTTCACCTGATGTTTGTAAGCCCTCGGGTGTTGCAGATGTCCATGGGCGGCGGTGATCACTTACCATCAGGTGAGCCTCCTGCTCGTTTGCTGCTTTTTTCCCATAAAAAAAATAATAAAAATAAAATAAGTGATAACTGCCGTTTGTATCACTCAAAGGGTCGCATCTCCCCAGCGGTTACTGTCACGGGACAAACCATGAACGCTGGAATCTATTATAGCGGCAACAGAAATAAATCATCTATAAAAATTTAAACTGACAGATGGACAGATAGACAGACAGACAGCGGAGTATTAGTAATAGTGTCCCGTTTTAACCTTCCAGTACTTCTTGTATTAACTGATGTTTTTGCTTTCAGTCCCGAGACTATTAATCCAGTACTTTAAAATGTGAGAAACCTTAAAATGAGAACGCAATTAGCCTTCTACGCATTTAATAATGAATAAAAATTTTATGTATTATTGCAATTATTTAAAAAAAATATTTTCTCTATTTAAACTAAAAAGTAATTTTGCTTTATTTTCTATATTAACTAATTGCGAGTGCGCAGTTTACCTTCCACGTAATTTTTAAATTACCTAATCATTTGAATTTGTGATAATTGCGAATATAACGATCAATAAATATTCCTTCGAATGCTTGCCTTAGAGGAGCGCATTCCTAAGCGATCGTGGGTAATAACAGTACTTCACGCTTCAATAGGGGTTGGTGTTTCCGAAGGTCTTGTCGGGGGTTCGATAACAGGTAGGCGCTTCGTGGAATGGCCATTGTTACGGATCGGCGGGCACGCGTTGGCCACTTGTTCAGCCGCCCCTTTGAACCCTCCGTAATGAGCCCTGCGTTGATGGCTTTTGTCTAGCAGTGAAGATTCACAGGTATTGTTCGCGATCGTATAACATATTCATCGCATGTTGTGTTTAATACTAATGATATCGCATTCTAAAATATGTAATTTGCATTTAATATACATTTTTATGAATGCTTTATAAGCAATCGCAAGTCAGCATAGAGGTGGGTGTTATAGGTAATTTTTAAACGTTTGAACATTTTTATGAATGCCTTATAAGTAATCGCAAGTCAGCACAGAATGCGAAGAAACAAAGATGAGGCTCATAATGTGTAGGATGTAGATATAATTGTCGAAAAATTTTGTGCCAGAATTATTTGAAATTGTATATATATTTTAAGTTGTCAAAGTCATCTTTAGTGCAGAGACTAACAATAAAATCTAATATATAAAATTCTCGTGTCACGATGTTTGTAATTGAACTCCTTCGAAACGGCTCGACCGATATTCTTGAAATTTTGTGTGCATATCGGCCAGGGTGGAGAATCGGATAACATCTATTTGTCATCCCTCTAAATGTTAGGGGTGGTCTACCCCAAACATTTTTTTCTACCCTACAAATAATTTATATGGCAAAACAACGTTTGCCGGGTCAGCTAGTTAAAATATAAAAAAATACTGGTTGACAATTTAAAAAGCTTAACGCGAGAAGTACCGTTAGGTGAAATAAACAAATACGAGGTTCGTAATAGATTCGTCGGAAGCCCAATCTTTCAGCTAATGAAAGGGGAAGGTGACATTCATGCAGGTCACACGCGTAAAGGACGTAGTTGAGCGGTGGTAAAACTGGCATGAAGTAATTCCCTCAACCTGACCTTAAATCTACTTTTAACAACCCTAATACGGTGGGTGTCTAGAATTTTCTCCTTACTGCACAGTACTTTCGCCGCAAGAGTAAGTGCGTTATTCAGAAATCTCGCAATTCTGCTAACAATTCAGCAGCTTGGAACGTGCAAATTGCTACGTGAACTTACGAACTCATTGGCTTCGCAATTTCATCGACTGGCTGATTATATGCTAAAATCTCGAATAATATGTTTCTTTTCGAATAACCTCATATGTAAATATGCAAGTAGGAGTTACGATTGATAATCGTTTATTCGTTAAAAATGTAAAATTATGCTAACAAACTTGACAGAACAGAAATGGTACCACTTTATTAGATGATAGATAATTGCCATAACTTCGTACTGAGACCGTTTGAAAAATGTGGCATTAATTGTTTATTAAACCCAATTTTAAGATAGTTTTTCTATTATTGGTTATGCTATCCGAATTTAAATCATTTTTTTAGAATACATCTTTACGCAACCTTATCTAGTCCTAAACTAAGCTTGTACTCTGGGTATTAAATAACTAATAATCATAGTTAAACATTATTCTCTTTTTTAATTTAATCGTCCAGTCACTAGAAAAACGCTATGTTCATCACACAATATTTTCCCGTAGTAGGAATCGAACCTACACTTTCTGGTGCAAGTGACATGTTCACCATCCACTGCACCAATTGTATTGTATTTATCGATTTTACCACCGATGCAAAACCTTCTTTTTTCGATCACACCCAGCACTGCTATTTCGAAATGTCTATCAGCTGTGACTTGTCTAGCGCCTCGAGCGTGCATTTTAACAAACGTCCAACTGTTGTTGCAGCAGCGATAGCAATGCGTAGGTGTGCAATTACACCGAGATTACAGACGCATTGTAATTGGCGGGCGGTTCGGACGATTGATTCTTTATTACACCTTCTCTACACAGCTGTACACCCTTGGAGTATAAGATATCAGTAAATTGTTATAACGTTTTACACGGACAACCAATGATGGCCCAGGTGCTGGGTGGGAGGTCAGACCAGTGATCTTGCAGATTCCAAATTTCTTAGTGTAGGTTAATGAATTAATAGTACTAGGTGAACCTAGTACTATTAACAATTTCTGCTACTGCACATAATATGAGCAGGGTCATCCGGGATATTATCAGTATTTTTCTTACAAAAGAACGGCGTGAAGTGGAACTATTATATTTGGCGTGGTCCCTGGTGAGAGAGGTAACTGATTCCCAGTTTTCTAATGGTTGGCAATGCACTTGCAATCTGACATGTATTGTAGACGACTATGGACCACACTTGGCAGCATTTAAATAAAATGAAACTCCATTCCAAGGGAATATACAAAAAGTTTCAATATAGTGTTCAAACGTTATTAAGATGTAATGTGAACTATGTTTAGTAATTCCTAACATTTATTTAAAAGTTCCGGATTAAATTAGCTTATTGTCTATGTCTGAAATAAACTTTACCGCTGTGGAATTAATCCTTAATTTGAAATAAACTTTACCGCTGTGGAATTAATCCTTAATTTTGTTGAGCGTATAAAGTAATACGAGACCATTGTGGAAGCAAATCGAGCGAGCGAACATAAAGGATTTCTGATTCAATGATTAACGGACGATTCATCGCGGTGCCGCTTATGTTTCTTGAGAATCGAACCCGAAACACCTGCTCGGCCCGCATCAGATAGCCAGGTGAGAAGACGGGAAATCCTGTGGCTGATTTAAAACAATGAAAACGGGCTGTCCTCACCAACGTCTGGCAGCTTGGATCGTGGAAGCTTTAAAAGTACGATCGGTTAAAAGTATTGACTCAAGTGTTAATTGAAAATAATTTAGTGTTATGATTTATCGTGTTTACGCAATGCATATGTATAGGGTCCAACGATGTGTAATACTACAGATGAAGATTATTCTAATAAAAGTACATTTTAAAAAGGCAATTAACAAATTTAATCCAGATTCATTTTCGACTTAGGTCTTTAACTTTATCATGTCAAATAAATTAAAATAAAATTGACAGCATTTAAAACCAAAATTAAACCCAATATGCCCGTAAATTATTTTTTAATGGTCTTATATTATAATAGTGTACAATTTTCTTCTCGTGGATTAAAATAATACAGGTGTATTACATATGGATTTCTCACCTCAAAAAACATTAAGAATAATAGGTAAACCCTGTAGCTATACACCATACAAAAATAATAGAAAGATATCTAATTTGATACCCTTTTGGAATAACAAGTTCAGTGGATACCATTAACAGTCTGTGTCCACCTTATTTGGGTAAGACACTTGAAGATCTTATAGGAACGTTAGTAATATGTGATACCTGGGAGCCATCCCGGTACAAGCAGGTAAGGTCTGCCACACGCTAACGGCCTCTCCGAAGGGCGGATCGGGCATATGTTTAAAGTTCTTGACAAAAAGAGATATTAGATAATACCTTGGCATTGTAACATAATTCTTAGGGATATTTTATAGGTAAATGATGACTCCGTGGCGCAGTTGCTAAGGTTTCGGCTTCGGGTCGTTGGTTCAATTCCCACGCGGGACAACCGTTTGTGCGAATCACAGATAGTTGTTTGTCCACGTGTAATTTATGTTTGTAAAGCGGACAGTGTTATCCTAAAAAAGGGCAATGTTTTAAAAAATATATATAAAATACAAAATATTTCGCTAAACGCCATGTTTCATTAATTTGATATAATAGATGAAAGTCAGTTCAAGTTACAGAGAAATCATTAGTGTTGACTTCATGATGTGAGCCGTCGGCTCCCTTAACAACTTTTCACATAGAAATAAAGTACCTGGAGGACCAAGCTTTGCTCGGTTTTTTTTTGGTAAATCGTGTATTTTGGAAATAAAAAAAAATAAAGAAAATGATCTGGTATAGAAAAAAAGTAAAAAATAAGTGTGTAAATGATCGTGATACGAACCGCGGCAGTCTGTTTTGGGGCCGCCCGATTACCGACCGAGGTATTATAACATTTTTTTGCGGCGAAATTTACCGTCATATTCGAATAAATATGACGGTAAATTCCCTGAAAACAGATATATACAAGAATTGCTCGTTTAAAGGATAAGATACATTAGTCAGCATCTAGTGTGTCGACACCCTAAGGCGCACCGGGAAGCGTACATATTGGGTGACACTGTCACGTCGAGCGAGCGCCGATCTTCCCAGAAACGGATGCTGCGCGCAGGGACACTGTTTACTTCTAGTCCGCTGGTAGACGAACGTGAGTGGCTACCGCGGCAACACTGAATTGAACTGCTTAGGGTTGAAGCCGTTTCGATTTTAATCGCGTCTAATGAAACTACATTTGTACAATGCACTTAGTGAAATTACTTACATATTACATTGCAGGAACTCTTTTTTTAACCTTGTTTTCAATTATAATCTGTGTACAATAAAGAATAAAGAGCTTTAGATTAAACAATTGCTAATACCTACTTTCATTGTTATTCGGGAGTGGTATATGGTGCTATACTCATCCCCGTAAATATATTCATATATAATTATACACTCGACAGACGATATGCAAAAGTTTGAATACGTTTACTCTACACTGGTCTTCTGTGAGCAGGTATTCTCTCATCAAGACCTTCATTCATAGTATAGCAGAAGCTACTGCGTCACCGAAGAATGTCAGCTTTTTCCTTCGTCACAATCTTGCTTGACCATCTTACGTGATGGTAGCCAGTGTAATCTTAGGTGGTAAATTGCCTGGATCAGTAAAATCCTAGGACACTCTACTAGTGTGCCCTGTTACCTTATATATCCTATTGGCTAGGACACTACTAGTCACTACTAGTCAACCCAATTTACACTCACGTTAATTGCGCGAAAATTAAGCAACCCATTCTAATCGCTGGCGTCGGCGGTGATTATGCATTTATGCGTGAACGGTGACATTTCGCGGCGCCAACCGGTCCCTTTAAATATTTCACGCCGCCGATACATAATCGCCCGAATGAGTTATGGTCAGCCGCCACTTCTGTGATTGAACGTTGCGACGGCATATAAGATTGACGCCAGTGGAGAAATTATTGGCGAATTGTACCCACAGCTGGGCAATGTCAATGCTATCCCGCGGTACCACGACGATGATGTTCGTCAACATACTATAGTTGACAACATACTCAATTTCATAAGGTTGGCGTGAATTTCATAATGGCGGCGGGAATCAATAGCGTTCCGAACTGATAATCGGTTCAATAAGTTGGTGTGTAAAATACTTTCTGGAATTATAAGTGGTCACCAAAAAATCCAAACCAAATCAGGTTTTCGTTTATAAGAGACGGTCGAACAATGCGTCTGTATCTCCTAGACGCGAACTGTTCGACACGTTTTTCGTCATAATAATAAAAATCGAGAAATAGCTTACCGTATGTTAACATATACACGTAGAATCGTATTATAGTATTGTTTACACTGGAACATTAGAGCATTGAAAAGCTTAAATGACAAATACAATTCGTCCGGGATAATTATAAAAGAAACATAACGACATAAATGTAAACCACCAGGTTCTGTTAAAGTACTACCCTCATTCACCATAAGTTTGGTAATATTGAAAGATAAAAGAATAGTGTAGTATGTATTTTTGTTGACTCTTTTGGCTTTTCATACAGAAATAGTCACCTATGATAAATGTTCTAAAACGATTGGTTACATGCTCTTAAGCAGGGTCAATGACTGTTGCCTTTTCGGAGAGCTTTAAGTTCCTGCTTGGAACTTAACTATCGTTGCGTGTCATCTTCTAAATTCGTAGCAAATATCATTTAGTATATAATATTATTAGGTTACGTTATTTATATGAATAATTAGGATGTACAATGTTTTAAGCATTCACTTATTATGACATTCTTTGACAGGTTATTGGATTCTTCAATTATGTTTTGATGCGGAGCTTGAAATGTCTTCAAATCCGTAATTTTGTTTGCATGACCAACAGATAATTCCGGATTTCATTCTACGAACTCTCTACATAGGTACCGTGATAGCTCAGTGTCCGGGCGCTCGCTTTTAATCCATACTTAATAGTACAAAGGCGAAAGTAACCGTCTGTCTGTCTGTCTCGCTTTCACGCCAAAACTACTGAACCGATTTAAATGAAATGTGTATCTGTGTATGTATCTGTGTACCAAACACAGATAGTCTAAGAAAGATATTTATTTAAGGGCTTCAACGCAAGCGTAGCAGCGGGCGAAAACCTAATTCAATAAATTCGATCCCCGGTGCTGGCACCAATGAAATAGTTAATTTTAATTGCCGACTTATCACGTGCTCTGCGTTGAAGGAAAACATCGTGAGGAAACCTGCAAATATTCAAAACAATAACAAAACATTCGAAGATATGCAAAGTCCACCAATCCGCAGTAGGGTGGCGTGATGGTCTATGCCTTAATACCCTCTGTACAGAGGCCTTTAATGTTACTCTCTTCTGTTGACCCTCTTCATAATGTTATTCCTTTAATAGAGTTAACACTTTTTTATTTCAGATTTCGTCATCCCTAACTTTTTTCTCGCTATCGTTTTCATCTATTACACTAAATTGCTTCATCGAAGGATGGGCAACAGTTTTAGAAAATTGAGATAAGTTCTTGATTAAATTAATAGGATAGCTTCGTTTAGATTACACTTTTTATGAAGCTCGTTGATGGAATAAGTTATTTTCCATAATAGGATGGTAAGGAAGACATGTTTTTATGTTACATCTCATATTTAACTTAATGCAAGCTCGCTGGCCGAGTTATCATTTTCATGTACTAACAGCTGTTGTACATAAAGAAATTTTTTCTCCATACTTTGGTGAAAAATGTACACATTTGTTTTGTGGTAGGCTTAGGTACTAACGGAGGAAAATAGGTGAAAAGATGAATACCTACACTTAAGATTAACTCGAAAGATTAACGAAAGGCTATACTGTTGCATTTGATATGTATACCTAACTAGGTGCTGCGACTACGGCTGCGTAGAATGGGCTGAAGGTGTAACATTAAGACAGAAAGACAGATATACATAAAATATGTATATAAATTATAGCCTATGTCTTATTCTGATGTATAAGCTAAATTATTGTAAAGTTTCATTAAAATCCATTCTGTACTATTTGCGTGAAAGAGTAACAAACACCCATCCATACATACAAACTCTCGCCTTTACCTCGCCTCTCGCCTCTACAAACTAGGCCTTATAAACTAATAATAGGCCTTATAATACTGCAAACCTGATGTCTTTATAAGAAGATAAAAATTCGTAAAGGATTTTGGGGCTACCATAGTTAGTTACTAATTCGATCCGGCAGCGACTTGTCCATGAAAATCTTACCAGGCTTCTGGTGTTTGTGTTTCTTGCCCTTGCCGGCGACGGAGGCCACCAGTAGCACCGCCAACAACCACCGCCACCTCATCTTTGCACCATCACACCACGAGCACACAACCAATTTCGTACGAATTCAAAAATCAGAGAGTGTTTAAAATATCCGAACTAATGAACACCACTAATCGAATGTTCTCATCAACAATTATCCGAAATCAACATTAATTCGTCCACTATTTCAAAATAAACCTTGTCAAAAAACAAGTTGATTGTCGGTGTATAACCTCAAAATTTCATTAAAAAACACACCGTTGACGGAAAAAAGACCGCGAAGATTTCGGGACTAAAGCGACGCGTACCATCCCGCGCGAATTATTCCCAACGACTGATTCGAGTTTCGAGTTTTAGAGCAACTCCGCATCTCGGCCGAATACCGACTAGGGCCATTTACTGTAAGCAGTGACTAAACCGGCATCGCCAGAGCGACAGCCGAAATAAACTTTAAAAAACTATTCGATTTTCAAAAAGGGTCAAACTCTCACATTTTAATTCTGCCTAATAAGTTACAACATTATATGTATTATACTGTTATTTTTAATGACTTGCTTATATAAAGTATTATCTTTCCGCAATTTGTAAAACGGAGCTTTCAACTTTCCAAAAGCTCTAGCGTCGAAAACTGCAAGTCGTCACGAATGCTTTAAAGCTTCTTAGTTCGCCTATTTCTCGAAAGATGGCGTTAAATCAAATTTTATTAAAGATGTTAATTTTTCGTTTTACTTGCTATTTTTTAATAAAATTATAATGGAATAAATGATAATAATTATTTTTTTCTTTTTCAAATATCAGTTTAAACACTAAAATATTTACGGAAGGTGACAATAATTTAGACTTTGAATTCCACTTCACATCGAGCCAGTCTTCTGTGAGGTTGTGGTATTTAACCGGACGGACCAGGCCGTGAAATAGTGAAGAACAAGACTGTTACGTACCATAATTTCACTGATAAGAATTAATGACAATAATAAATGTTCGTACTTTACACGCATTTACAGTTTGATTACAGGAATCTTCTAGGAAATCAGGTTTTTTTATATTCCAAGGGTGTTTTTCGACGTAATAATTTTTTTAACGAAATTAGTCACTATCAATACTTTACTTCAGTGTTTTGCTGTCAACATAGAAAAACAAAGTATTTAATTCTTTTTTTTGTATCTTTAGTAATCACTTAATTGAAGTTAAAATGACATCTAGTGGATTCATCAAAACTAATTGGTTTGATTGTGATTAATCATTAAAGATTTTAATGTAATTTTGAGAATATTCCATTAATCTTCTTATATATAAAAATGGATTGCTGTTCGTTAGTCTCGCTAAAACTCGAGAACGGCTGGACCGATTTGGCTAATTTTGGTTTTGAAGTATTTGTGGCTGTCCAGGGAAGGTTTAAACGATGAGAAATTATGGAAAAATTACATGGAAATTAAATGAAAATAGCAACAATTTTATTTTCCCTTACAAACTGTACCTGTCAACTATGTCAAACACTTTATACGTGCGTTCCGATGCCCCTAGAAATAACTTACCATTGTTTGCCGAGTCAGCTAGTATATATATAAATCTAGATTCAAAGTCCGGCACGTCAGCGTGTCTAGGTTCCGTGTCGAGGTTCCAGTTGCAGGAATTTGTCCACCATAGAATAAGCACATATTTTTGGCCACAAAAAAGTTTTATGTGACATTCGTGACATGCAAAAATACCTGACACAAAAAAGAAAAGCTAAGGAAGATTTATTTTAAGGACTAAGTATTTTATTCCACTAGTTTAAGACATATAAATACAATTTCATAAAAAATAATTCTCCCAGATACCACTCGTCAGATACGCCAGTGCCAGTCTCTTGTCAGTGTTGTCCATTTATTTATTTTCATTTTACCAATATTATTGACATTTCAAAATATCTAAATATATAAAATATATCGCTTAATTATAAAATAATGTTAGGATTACCGCTGCTTATGGGCATCTACAACACTTGATGTGTTGTAGAGGAGTTGCCAACCCTAAGATCATTCACCAGACAAAACATAAAATTATTTTATTTTTATTAGGTACATATAATTCTTTCTTTATGAGAAATATTGTTATAAATGGTGTTTGACACCCATAACATTTTCACGTAATCATACTATGTAAGCATAAATTATGTGAACAGTTTTAAATATTAGGTACTGCCTGATTGTGTATAAAAAAGTGAATAATGTCCAATAGTTTAGATTGCAGACTTGTCACTAACGATTGGCCGTAAATTACAAGTATCTGTATAAACATATTCACAATTTTTGTGAAATATATTGGAAATAGAACATGTTGCAACTCCGCTGGAACACCGTGTCGGGTAGAAATGATCGAAAATTGTATATATTTCTATTTATTTGGCAGTTTACAATTCCTTTACATATGTCTTAGTATTATGTTACCGATACAAATAATTATCATTTTACACTCGCATTCAGTATACAAATTAGCATTGGGAGAGGGAACGCAGTCAGGGAGGGTTGGTGCTGTTTTTACGTACAATAACAACACAATAACATACGAACAATAAGCCAAAAATGTTTAATGTCATCATATCGATAAATTTACATTGCGTTTATCGTAACACCAAAAAACTGGACACCCAGGAAACGAGTAAAAATCACCTAAAAAAATCCTCGCTAAAATCAACCATTACATACATACAAGATACGTTCGGATAGATTGCTCGGCGCGGTGTGAGGGGCGGCGCGGACGCCGGCGGCCGCCTCTCACACCGCGTTCACATGCATACTGTCATTTATTACTATACTGTCGGTGTAAGAACAGTCCCTCGCGTCCGCGTGTCGCTCGTGCGACGAAACAGTCGCTAGGCCGACCGCATGCATCGGCTGTGTCGCATGCGAACCCCGAACGCTTTTATAATCGCGTTCGGAATAAACCCCTCGGTTCAGCACAAACTCTGGCGTGGCCCGACACGCGCATCGCTGAACAAACGCGCGTGCGCTCATAGGGCCGAACGCGTGATATGTTCGATGCGAAGCGATTCGCGAAATTAAACTTTATTATTACCATCATTTGATATGTATCTCTACGTCGCTATACAGGCTCGATATAATCTATTATAACTATCTAAACAGTGATCACTGAGGAGTTTCGCATGCGAATCGCTGCGGCCGATGCGGTCCGCGACCTCAACGGGTTACGGCGCGACGACACGACGCGTTTCTACTCGAAATTTCATATAATTGTGATATGATTCAGGCGCAAAATAATCATGTTACTTGTTACGGTTCTAAAATCAACATGGGAACAATTCATGTCACTCGATATTGTTGCGCTTTAGGATGATATTGTCAAAAGAAAAAACCGAACCAACCAAACCTGCCTAGGACGTGTCGCTAAATGTTATACGAGATAATGTTCAAGGCATATGTAACAAGTAACGCTGCTCATAAACAAAAACACATCGTGTCACGCATCTCGGAAATAGAAACGCGCCTCGTCATGTCGCTAAGAAACAGAAACGCGCCGCGTCACGCCGCTGAGAAACAGAAACGCGCCGCGTCGCGCATCTGAGAAACAGAAACGCGCCGCGTCGCGCCGCCGGGGAGCAGACAGCGGCCGAGTCGCGCGGCGTCCGCGGCACCCGCGACACGGGTGTGGGGGTCGGAGCAGTGGGGGCCGGTACGGCGCCCCCGCCCTGCGGGCCCGACCGGGCCGCCTCAGACGAACCACTCGTCCTTGTGCGGGGCGGCGCTCAGCGCTGCGCCCGCGCCCGCAGGCGGCCCGGGCGCGCCGCGTTGTACCCGCGCGGGCCCGCAGGGAGCGGCCAGTTTCCCGGCAGCCGCGTGCCGCCCGGCGCCGGCGGCTCGCCCGCCGCCTTGCCGGCCGCCCCGGCGCCGTTGCTACTCGCCACCTGTTGCACTGCAATGCGCGCGCGCGTCACAAGCCGCCCGGCCCGGCCCGCCCCGGCCCGCCCGCTAAGCTCACACACATAGCGTCACAGCGGCGTGCAACATACGTGGCGCTCCTCCCGGGTCCGGGTGCTTGTGCGCGTGCAGGTCGGATATGCGCAACGCCCTTACAAAGCGGGACATTGTTGTCCTAGGGAGCAAAGAGATTTCAAAAACGGACTAACCAAATTAAATATTACAACGTTGTAAAATACCTCATTGGAATTCATTTTCAGCCGACTTTCATATGGAATGAGGTTCTCAGTTCGGTTGAGGTTTTTTTTGTGTATTTGTTACTTCAAGGAATTCGGCCATTTTAAACATTCTTTTTGCATTGCGTTTGGTTTAGCTCTAATGTGGTCCCATATTAATTTCATCGATATTGGACCTTCGACTCCGAATATTTATTTGAGGCCTCCTCAAAATCCAATATAAAATGTATAGTAAGTAAGATATAAGATATATAAGTTGATTTTGTTTTTTGGTTCATAAAAATGTTTCATATAATTTCATTCGATTGAGCAGGGGAAATTACATAAAAATTAGAGATCCGTCTACGCAACAGAGGATTTCCAACTTTAGTGTCTCACACTGAAGAGATCACTTTGCTTAGTACACGCATATCAACATGACCGCCAGTTGACGCCATAAAGGGACACAAAGGCAAAATTTAATACTAAACATATATACAGAGGCATGTCAATGATATGCCGACTCAGGTAGCTTATTGTAGATCCCGCCGTTGATATTGCTACCTCCCCAGGCAATCAATATAGGGGCAGTCAAAGGCGGCTCACGTTGATCGATATAGGAGAGACGTAACAACGGGAGGCAATTGAGTATTTACAATGTAGATGTGTGCGCCTGGTGGGTGCGCGCCGGCGGCAGTAGCAGCAGAGCGCCAGGCCGGCGGCGAATACCGCTAGCCCTGCACCGGCCGCCATTACCACCACCCACATACCTCCGGCGCCTCCGCCACCGTTCTCTGCGAGCGTTTTAATATGTCACATGTTTATTTTTTAATGTAAGACGGCAAGCGAGCTGCCATTTCACATGACATGCAACACCCTTAGGTTGCAAATGTGTTGCCGTAGAAGAAGTATATAACACTTCACGCGGGTCTTACACTGATGGACCTGTTCATTCGGTTAACTGCGAATACTGTTGCGTGGTCGTAAGTACCTTAGTTGTATCAAAAAGAAACAACCCCTATACAACAAAGGCCTTTGTCCAGCGGTGGAACATTTATAGGCTGATACTTTAAGTTAATTTAAATTAGCAAATAATGAATAATGATGATGCTCCCTGCAGTGTCCTAACTTTACTGTGGCACGCCGGGTCATACCGGGGCACACCGGGTCACGAACGACTCGTCTAAAGAAGTACCCAGGTCTCTCATAAGACCAGCGTGAAGTCGAAGTATTATACTTTCGTGTTTCTGGGCTCAAATTTTTCATGCTGTTAATGCATTTGTAACGGTTTTGTAGTCCATGGGCTTCGTCTGGTGAACCGATTGAGCATTTGCCAATTTATGACATAAAAACCGAATGTATAGGACACGCACAAGTTAAGAATTTATGCGTCTTATGATTCAGTTGTCATTCAGTCAGTAATCAGTATTAATTTATATTTAGTGTCGTTAAAAAAAAAACAATTTCTTTCGCTTCCAAATTGAACACAACAAGAAATAAGTGATTTCTTTACTCATGTCATAATGACAACCTAAAGAAATATTTAATTAATGTAGCCTCATTCAACGAAATGAGAAAGAAACGTAAAGTACCTTTGATTAATTACATCTTACGTCAGTGAGTATCGTGAACTGGATTTTGGACATAGCCAATGGAATTATTTCGTAGCAAGAATATGAATTCATGAGACGTTGCTTTATTACTGAATGTCATTTCTACGGAGCGCCTGCTGATTAACTTTTGATTAATGGACCACAATATTGCTTTCATAAAATGGCAGGCGCAATACCCCACCACTGGTATTACATCCTGAATACACACTCAGGATGTAATACCAGTAATATTATTGTATGCATATTTGATATTTATGTAATTTAATGACATAGCCATGATCTAATATAATATATGAGTATCATAAAAATATGGACAAAATTAGTTTTAAACTAACATTAATACTCATACTCGTATATACAGCGTGTCGTTATGACCGCGACAATAAATGAATACACATATAGAGGAAAACTTTTTTAAATTGTATTAAACATTTACATTCTTTAAACATCAATATTTACCGAGTTAATAAATTTTACAAAACAAACATTTTTAGAACATCCCTTACGTATAAAACTGTAACGTAAAGATCATTTGTAAAGGTCACGGTGTGTTGCAATGGGTTAAATGAATTTAAAAGAGATATAATATACTGTTAAAATGAGAAATTTGTACCTAGTGCGACGCTGCGGCAACGAATGAAAAAGTGTCTGAATGTATGAATCAGTCAGTTGTAGTTGTATAGGATGTTATAAATTTTGTTTCTTATTATTTAATTAGTTTCTTTTGAAAAAATATATTTTTTTAATTATGGATTTTTTAACGTTTTATATTTTTTTATGATTATTGGCAAGTAGCGTTAGACGTGTGTTCATTTATTGTCGCGGTTGTAACGACACGCTGTATATAACACATGCTGATTCTGCCTCCCTGAACCAGAAATGAATTTAAAAGTGATTTTTGGATCGGTTAAAGCGAAAATAAAAGATATGAAATCAATTCCTGCAGTTAATGATACCATGGATTCGACTATTCACTCTAATCGCGAGTTTTAATACGATATTACAATAACTCCGAGTTCACCAACTAAAGTGATTCGTACATAAATGTTGTTATTAAATATACAAAATGGAGGGACTGTACAAACTAAATAATCAGCAGACGGCACACCGACCTAGAGTTTCGAGTTTAATTTCATAATACAAATCTAAAATTACATTCGACGCCTAATCCGAGCGCCATTCGCCACGTTGCGTTGGGTGTAATTAGTGCGTATTTTATTTTCATTGTTAATATTTCGCGCCGTTAAAACGCATCGTTTGCCAACGTTTAACCCGTTGGCCTATTTCCAACGGTTATTAACGTTATGATCTGATAATAATAATTTTAGACCTCAAGCTTTGACTTTATTTGCATTCCGCGGCTAAACACGCCCGCTGTTATCTTCCAGGCATTTCCGAGGGCTTTTCGGGACTTTATGGAGATTGACCCGTTAATCTTCAAACTGCGAGTTAGCTGAGTGCTAATTGTTTTTGTTTCTTTTCTTCGTACAGTCGACGAACTAGAAACTTGAAGGTATTTACAAAGCTCTAGTAAACATTTTATACTAGTTGTGAGAAACTTTTTTCCAAAATTTTTTTTTTTCAAACGAATTTTGCTTAAATTTGTTGGAAAACATCAGTTCCCTATCACGTGATCTGCAAAGTAATTTAATGGTCGGGAAAAGTTTAAATTAAACGCGTAAAATTTTCTAGTTCAATGAAGTTGTACTTAACTCACAAACGTCTGAGAGGGATTTCTATTTTGCTTTAAAGTGGGTAGTATGAATAACCAGAGGCATTGGAACGATGGATGCCTTTTATTCTACCACCTACTCAGATCGAATGGAACACGATGTGCATTAGCATACTTGTACCCTCGTGTGCATTCGTTTGCGCGACTGTCGTCCGTGCGTGTACTTGTGTGTTCGTGTTCGTGGTTACCGGGACAGAGTACGGCGGTGTCCTCGTCGGAGCCGTCGGCGCAGTGGTCCACGCCGTCGCAGGTGAGGTCCGCGCTAACGCAGAACTCGCGCTGCTTGCAGCGAAACTCCTTGCAGCCGTGCTCTGAGGAAACTAATGGTCAAAACAGCGAGGCATTCTCTAGGTCTGATTAAGGTCAACATGGATATTTGCGGGGTCCGACTTAAAATCGGTTACGCTTTCTGGATCGCAGATAGGGCTGGCCCCGTCTCGATGGAGTCTCGACATATATATGAGAGTAAAGTTTTAAAACGCATATTCATGATAATATCGGATAGTGTTTATAAAATTTAAATCTCCATAGCAAATTTAATATTTACACAGAAGATACAAAGCAAATTATTACTAGCACTATGGTGAAGCTTTTCATACTAAGCCTCATCAATTACAGTTTCTACAACTTATTTTAATCCAGGAGGATTATCCTTATCCCACCCAGATGGGTTCGAAACAATATGTTAATCATGTTTTTAATGTTATTTTCTACGTTTTTTTACGACCGGCCGAATGTCTGACGTCATAACTACTTGGGAACAAACACTCAGATCCGTAACAATTATCTATGCGTCACAGAAATTCTGAGCAGATCGTATTTTTTATTTTTTAACGATGAACGATAATTTTGTATATTTTTAGTTATTCTAATCAAAAAATATTTATAAATAACATAATGATGCTATTAATTAATTAAAGAGACGCTATGCACGTCAATACTCGTAGCTTTTGACAACACTATTGGCAATTATTTGTCCTATGGGACCATGACTTCATGTCAAAGCAAATAATTGCGACTAAGCTAACTGATATTACAAAGTAGGTATACATTTTAGTAGTAAACTTTTAAATCAAATGTTTAGAAATTTTAATTGGTATTCTTACATTTGATTTTTTTAATTTCCTAATTTTCTTTCATTTCCTTTGAAGACGGTGGTATCGTCACGCAGTCACGGTGGTAGGGTCACGCAGCAGCCTCGGCTGTTGCACGAATGGGCAGGCTCGTCCGGGTAAGTACCACGACCTCACAGTACACCAGCGTAAAGTGGAAGTATAATACTTTCGCGTTTCGTCTGGTGAGTGAGGTCGCCAGAGCCCAATTTTCAAAAGGTTTTTAACGCATCTGCAACTGTACAGCTGTAGCTGATGTCCATGGGTGGCGGTATTCACTTAATATCAGGTGAACCGTCTGCTCGCTTGGCAACTTTTCACATAAAAAAAGAAGAAATTATGGAGGTTTATAATGTGATCATCATTACCTATTTGGTCGTGTGTCTCATTCTTAACACAGACATAATTATCAGTGTAGATCTTTATTTTAACTTTTTTTTTATTTGGTTAGTTTTGTTATTACCGAGTATTACTGCACTTGCAAGTCCCCTGGCTACTGCTAATTTTATACTTAATACTTTTGTGTATATTAAGCATATATATAATAATTAAAAATATAAATATCAGACTTTCTTGCCCGTTCTCCTCTGCCAGGTTTGGTTTAGTGAACCGGTTCAATAAGAGCTTAAAATAAGCCTATGTTGAATAAAGAAAATTTTGACTGAGCTTGATTTTGACTTTGAACGTCATCTACAAATTTATATCTGAATTATTAATTTTTATGAAATATCGGATATACAGGGTGGCTTTTCTAAGTGTATCCATTTTTTTTAATTAAATTCTAGACATAAATATTGTTATATAAAAATGATAAATATGTAAAATCACTCGTAAGTAATTAATTACATTCATTTGAACTTATCTCAAAAAGTGAGTGATTTATACGCAACTCATTTATTTTACGCGCGAACATTCATAACTAACACGCACACAAGTTCGTGCACAGTAAAATTTAGGTATTTATGAATGACTACCGCATTGTCAACACGTTCTGTTTTTTAGGGAATAGAATGGCATTTTTTTGGAAAATAAAACTTTTTTATTTCAATAAACGATTATAGACTCGGTAGGTCTGAACCACCTGTGTAAATTTGGGCACAAAAAATCTCCCTGTATAGTGTGAGCACGTAAATATATTCGACAAAACGACGCCTCTGAAACTATCTGATACTCGATTATTGGATCGGCCCACAGGTCTCCGTTTTTAACGTATTTATTTCGTTACCGTTTCAAGGCAGTCTTACGAATAGCGTCCCGTCCATACATTTGCGTAAGTAATGCCTTTTATCACAAACAGACGCGCGCAAAAGCCGCCTCCGTACAAAAACCTATCCGCGCAAGGAACTATCCAATTTCACTCGCTATCCAATTTACTAATAGAGACGCTATCTATAACGATGTTTTCCATCAACGTCGACCCTTTTTCCACATCAGACAACAGATATCGAAAACCTTTTTTCCGTTTCGTTGAATTAACATTTGCTCCACGAAAGTCTCTCCGATCGATATTGCCGTTTAGGAGCTATCGCTGCACTGCCAATGGTCTGTATTTAATGAATAATCGACACGTCCCAAAAGGTTAGAGTATGGGCCTCAACATTTCTTAGAAATTTTGCATTTATTTCAAATATATGTGTACTCATAGTTATGTGGCAATAAACATACATATAAAAAGTTAACGGGAAAGATCATTATCTAAAAGCCTGGCTAGATGTAGCAAACATTAATTAATTTAAGTTACTTGCACCGTAGGTCCTTAGAAATATAAGAAAATTCAAGAATGCGCCACTTTTTCACGAAGAATCACTTTTTTTTTTTAAATTGTTTTAATAATAGTAATTTCATCCTGTAGAGGCTGTAGACGTTTTCCAGTACAATAATTTTAAAAAAGTTTGATTTTAAATCAACGTATCTTTAGTAAAGTAGAATAAATAGATACTACTAATGGAGAAATAACTGTCTCGTTTGCTAATGCTGTAATATACAGCATTAGCAAACAGTATTGTGAATTTGTTTTTAAGAACAACGTTCTTAAAGAAGAATCAACTATTATATAAATGTTATTGATCAAAACTAATTTATTTATCACGTAAACACAAGAAATAATTATTATGTTGAACTACTTTGAAAAATTGTATCACTTACAAATCTCTTTGCAATTACACATTATATTGTACTGTGACCAGTCTAAGTAAATGATAAAAATGTGACAAAGGTTTTGGATTCTTCGAAGCTAACAACGCCTTACAATACAGTTGGCTCGCGCCGATCCAACGGATTCCAACCGTACGCCAATTATAAGCCCCGTCATCGCACCTACGGAAGGCTGAAATGGCTTATAATCTCCGCTTCTAAGCCCAGACAGGGCCGAGGGTGGCGTGGGGATTAGAAGGGTGGCACCCTCAGGGCTTTTGATCTATAAAGGAGGGGTGGTGCATCCGCGGTGGCAGACCGTGCGTCTCATTGTTTAAAGTTTCATTCGGGCTCCTTGCATAATTCAATGGCGTGCGAGCGTTGAAATATATTTTTCCCATTGGCGTCCCGCGTCTGCCGCGAAGATACCGTGTTCGCTTCATTGCTATAAAGAACTTTGTACCAGAAGCTTTGAGGGTATGAGGTGTGTTTGAGCGGGTCTGTCTCACGACGGTGGCATTGCGAAACCTAGCCTACGTTAGTTCAACAAAAGACCGAACGGAGTAGACGGAAAGTAAAACCAGAAGTCTTTTGAACGTTTAAACGTTGTCCAAACTCCTTCTTCTTTACTGGAAGGCCATACTCTAGTGTTTGATTAATAAGAGGTGATTTATTTATGCAGAGAGGAACAAACCGAGTTACCTGATGGTAATCGATCGGCGTATGTTTAAAGTGGACACTTGTAACATGAGTCACACTGCATTGCCGGCCTTTGAGGTAGGCCTGCGTCCATATATTATAAGTGTCACGCTAGTGTTAAACTATTTAAGTGTCACCGAGATTAGTCTCAAAACGTTAAAGATGTCGTCTTAATAAGAATGTTTAACAGTACATAGCGATTTTTACATTTAAGTTATCATAGAAACAGCTACGCATTTGTGCATGGTGCTGAAATTATAAACTAGCAACTACAATCGATTTAGTCACATCAGCTATAATTATTATATATTGTAAATATTATATTGTAAATTATATCTAAAAGACTGTAACATAAATTCGTCTTGGGTGTTATGTTTACGTTTTTCAAAGGTGCGAAAAGGCGTTAAGACCTCATCGACAAAGGGCAGATTTTTATTGCCAATTTTTCCTTATTAATTTCCTCCCGCCGGTTGCCGACCGCTCGACGGAAGCTCCCCGTTCGGATTCGACGATTCGAACGTAAAAAAAAATATTACGACATCCCATCGAGTTTCGGATACTGTTTCTGATCGTGATGCTTTATGCCTCCAATAAATCGCCCCCGATAACTTTCTGCCTTAAATTGGGAGAAGTGCCTCGCGCCGAGACGCGTCGGGCTCCGTGGAGTATAAAATTTTATTATGCGTTAAACCTGCTTTATGTCACGCGCAGCCATTTTTTTTTTTTTTTTTTTTTTTAAAGATAATGAACACTTCGAAAACGCAAATGGTTGCGGCGACAGTTACGAATTATGTCGTGATTATATCACGTACCGGGTACGGTGTGTCATTTATGCTATTGGTTCAAATGTGGACCAAACAGATGGACGTTTGGCTTGTAGTGAGCATAGCTACGGTATAATAAAATTTTAAATTTTATTTTTGATTCCTAACCAAATATATGGAATGAACATGTCGTTATTCAGTTGCGAGTGAATTGTAAACGAAGATGTTTCATATCCATTTCGCAAGCGTTCACATTTCCACCGTTTCTAAACTCAATTAATATGACTTAAAACCCAGATATGTTTCCCTACGCTGCAGAATGACATAATGATTCATTACCGGTAATCGAGTTTTAGATTCCCGTCATCTATCTTAATCGGTTTAGGATTATCCTCTCGTGTTCCGCTCGAGGCTTGCGTGTCGTAGAACGAACTTGTATTGCCAATTAACTGCCATGATATTATCACAAAATGCAAGCAAGATATAAGCCGGCCTTTCTAAAAAGCCCTTCAGGCCTCTACAAGCGACAAAATTGACTTAAAGTCAAAAAATCCATAGCACGTAAGCTTAGGATTACCCATCACTTGTTACCATTAAAGTTTTAAAGTACAA